GGTTGGTTGGGATGTCGTCTATGATGTGGAGGGGGTTGATATGGAGGAGGTTGATACAAAAGTGTTTGATATGGAGGAGGCTGTTGCGGAGGGGGCTGATATGGAGGGGTTTGGTTTGGACGTGGTTGATATGAAGGGGGATGAACTGGAGGGGGTTTGGGATTGTACGGGGGTGGATGTCGCGCTAGCCTAGCTTTGGGTTTGCTTAGGTGAAGACCATCGGCAAAATTATTGTAAGTCCTTTAACGACTTGTTGAAGGTTCTGAAGAGACGCCTCCAATGTGTCAGATCTTCAGTCCATAGAATCCATCCTCGTAGAAGATCCTGTAGAGAAAGTTCCTTCTCGTCGTCATCTGCCATTGTCGAGGATGTTGAAGCTGAAGCTCTGATACCACTTGACGCAGACATAGAAATGGGGAGACCGATCGGATATCGTTTCGATGCCGACAAGCCCTGATAATAGCAGGTAGAAAACAAGCTTGAATCCACAAACCCTAGGTTTCTCAAACTTGAGAAGAAAAACAATGGAGAACAATTCTCTTGATTGAATAATTGAAAGTTAATTATTTGATTTACAAAAGAAGCTATTATTTATAGCCAACTAAACCTATCCAAACTCTAATAAAAAAGAAAATCTGAATCTAAAAGGAAATAACTAAAAAGAAACTATTTCCTAATCTAAAAGGAAATAACAAAAAAGAACTCTTTCCTAATCTAAAATGAAATAACCAAAAAAAAACTCTTTCCTAATATGATGTCCGAGTTGACATGGGTGGTTTTCTTCTTGTCTCGTCCAATGCTTGATCTACTATATCAGATACCTAGCGCAACGGTTATAAGCGTTGCGCTAAAACTGTTGCATCATCAAATACATGGTAATGTTTTGTGGGGGGTACTCAAATAAAACTCATGCTTAAATAGTCACAATAAGAAATGGGGTAGAAACAGCATTTTTTTTTTTGAGCAAAGATTTCATGGTATGTAACAGACACTGTTAATGTTATGAAAAGTGAAATGTTGGAATATTATTTAGAAAAAATTTAAATTCAGATACCAAAGTTAAGAATTGAACTTTAGGGATTAAAGTGCAATTAACCCGATCAGATGACTAAAAGATTTAGTCTGAAGCTCACCTGCTCCATTACACATACATTGCTCCCCAATATCTTGGCAATATGATGTTCCTTTTACAGATGTAAAATTCAATTGTTACATGCGAATAGAAACTCAACAAGATGAGTAAAAACAAACTGCCAGTGCCACCCCTCCAGGAACTAAAGGCTACAACAGCAAGGACGACTTTCAAAACATATTTTGGAGTTTCAGCTTTCCAGTGGAACACTTACTTTCATCTGACTTGTATATTTTTCGAGCAGTGCTAAAGCAATGCCTAGGTTGCTGACAGTGTTCTGAACTCTTTGACAAAATTCCATCACGACAACTGGAAAAATTCGGGCTAAATTCTGCACTGTTCTTAAATGACCTATTCTTGCTTGGAAAATCATAACCCGATATCTGATCATATTCCTGGAAAGTTGTCACAATTTAGAAGCTGGCACATATCTAATAGCTACCAAATGACTATTGAAGTGGAAAACACGAGCATCACGAATAAATAAAGTATAAATAAGTACAGATTTTTTTTTTTTTTGAAAAACCACATTAGCTTCATTTGGGCAAACAAACTATTATAAGTTAGAATAATGTTTGTTACCTTAGACTTTGTCTTTGAAAACCATGGGGTCAAACAAGGGTTCAGGTCCTTCATAACCATTTCATCGGGGCTACCATAAGTCACAGGGCACTCAGAACTACATTCCTGTAAAAGCAACGCATGAAGCATTCAAACTGCAGAACAATGGGTAAACAATTACACATAATGAATTTAATCAACTGCATATTGAGTTGGGGGGATAGCTGCTATTTTGTATACAATTATTTGGGCAAGGTAGGCATGGCTGGGTGGTCCTTTTGAACCCCTCATCCTTGTTCTAAAAAAATGCATTTTGAGAACTCTGTTGAAGATACTACAGGCTAGTTCAATTTCAAAGTATAAAAACAGCATGAGTTGAGTCTTCTAGTAAGCAATTCATACCAGAGAATTCTGAGCTTCCAGATTGGATATTGGTGTTTGTGGAGAACTATGACGGTCAAAGCATTTCCTTTCAACATATTTATCAGCTTTCACCTGCCCATTTTTTGTAGCACTGTCAGCTATCCACATAATATACAATAAATGAAAATATGTTCGACTGTTAGGGCTACAACTTGAAAGAAAGTAGTTTACATTTACAAGGCATTAACTTATTAAGATATGCATTAAAAGACAACTTTTTGCTCTGTATAAAGTGAATGAAAGAAAACAAAGAAATGGATATACTTTCTAATTTACTTACCAAAGGGACAGAAAGAATCAAACAAATCTAAGCAAGATTCTAATTGACATGTACAAGGCATATTAACTCATTAAGACATGCATTAAAAATTTAAGAGGTAACTTTTGGCTTCGTATAAAGTGAATGATAGAAAACAAGTAATGCAATGGGAGGAAGGGGCTTATAATTTATACACATTTTATTTTCTTCTGACACATGTTCTTCCCCCCACCTTCAACCGGAACCTCAAAACAAATTGTACTGGAAAATCAAACTTTTTCTCATCAGTCATCAAATGCAACAATCAAACTTTTATCCCCAACTTTGGAGTTAGAAACATGATCCCTTTTTCTTCTGTTCTAACTTGTTGAGGACAACCTCCTTGATTGAATTAACAACAGCTACATCCTTTTACAATTGTCTTGATTCATGCTTCTTTTAGGTCTACCTCTAGTGCTTATTTACTCAATTCACTAAAATCCCATCTCATATCCTCACTCCCAATTTATTTGTTCTTTTTGGAATGTTGAAACCTACATCACCCTGGTACCTCTATCATGAAGCTGCACCTGTACCCCAACGTGTATCTGACACGTACCCATACCTAAACTTTATGAGCACTCCTTGGATATATGCATACATTTATTCAGACATGTACTCAATTACATGATATATGTTTTAATTTAAAACACTTTTTATACACTTCTTAGACATATACCCTACACTTCACATCATTACTTGAAACTTGTTTGACATGGTTCAGGTTTGTTTCAACCAATACCCAAGTTCAAAACTATGTTTTTAAGAAGTTGTTTGCATATCTAGTTCAAAAATGAGCAGTTTCTAATTTATAATAATCAACCTAGTAAAACAAACTAAAAATGTGATAGGAATTTAAATTCTAATATCAGATGAATTGAAAAACAATAATGATCTCATGTATATATATATATATATATATATATATATATATATATAGTCATGTCCCCGTACCCTACATTCTACAAATTTTCCGTGACGCATACCCAAACATGTACAGGTACCGTACACATTTCCGTGCAATTTAGGTTGAAACCATTTCACTAATCCTCATTTTCTTGAATAGGAGCCAAATTTATTTTTTTTCACAGATATGTTATTGTCTTGTGTCTTAGAAGTTAGAATATTGTTCCACTCACTGTTTTTGACATTTCATTTCTAAGTTGATTGTTGACATTTTATTTCTCAATAAAAATGTGAATATTTTCCTAATCAAACACATGATTTTTTTTTTAAGAAAAATTCCTCATTATGTTCTTCCATCTTTTGACGTAATAGAAAGCTAATTGATCCTTCCAACTCCCAACCATAAACTAATTTTTTATTATTTTCTCCCATCGACATCTCCCACCACCGAAGCTCCAATTTATATGGGCCTCATTCAAATCTAAAAATTTATATCGAATTAGGGGTTTAGTAGTCTTTTGAATATATGAGAGGTTAAGAAGATGAATGAATTCAGTTCGGTATTTTGATTGTTAAATTTTAATTGGAGAAGAGATTTAAAGAAAATGAATTTATTTGTTTCTGCTCCATGCATTGCCCGTTATTCTCTTTGGTACAGATGAATCTCTATATCTAAGCATTTGTTCTCGGAAATTGTTATTTTCTAGTTTTTCTCTATCTGAGTATCGCCTTATATAGCTTTGTACTAAGTTAATGGAGATTAAGTTAGATATATATATATATATATGTATATATACACGTGTATATGTGTGTGTGCGCGTCTGTGTGTATACACATATATATGTCTTTATACACACACGCGTGCGCGCCTTATTTGTTAGGGTGACAAGAAGCAGAACACCATCTAAGAAGTCAATATATGAAGCCATACTGCACCATGCTTGGCATTACTATGGTTAGGCTTTGTAGTATACTCAGAATGTTAATACAGCTCTGGTAATCTCCTTCATTATGGTCAATGGTTCAGAATAGGTAAATCAATTGTTCTATTTAGTAAATGTTGCAAGATAGAAACTTCTCAAGTTGAAAATAAATAATTTGCAAGATAACATAGGAAGGAGGCGGAGGTGATGAAGAAGCATAGCAAGGTCTGAGGACTTGAGGCTTTCGAGCAATAGGCTTTCGAGCAATAATGTTGGAGAGATTGCAGATATATGGGAATTTGAACAAGATCATGAATAAATTGGAATCAGCTAAAAAAGCATAAAAAGAACAAGCAAATAAATAACCAAATAACTAGCGAAAAAATATAGCATTAAAAAAAAAGTGTATTAGCAATTTAACAAGTGCTTTTAGTGTATGCATTAACTTTAGTCGCTATGGGAAGTTACTAAAAGCAGTAGCATAGCAGGCTAGAACCAGTTATATGAAGGAATCACTAAAGCGTTGTTATGATACTTGGAATGCTCTTTATATTGGTAGCAACTTGGTGTTTCCCAAACAATCTAGACATGTTACATCATCAATTAGCCCAAAGCTTGTTAACAACTCACATCTACAATCATCAAAGATCAGCCAAAGATATTTGACATAGCAACTTAGAAACATGATTCATGTAACCGAGTTACATAGATAAACTTGGTGACAAAGGAATATAATCCCTGTTGAAGCAATAATCTACACGGTAAACTGGATATATTATGAGAAAAATGATATCATCAATCAAATAGTATTCATAAAGAAAAGCTAATTGCAAAATAGGCCAGCAAAATAATTATGAGGAAGTACCTCAGCAAGATCCTCAGCAAGGCACTGAAGCTGACCGGTTAGAGAAGAAACTTGCTTCTGTAGACATGGGATGATGTTCCTGGCCTGTTTCAGCTCCGACCCTTGTTTCTCGAACAGCTCATGAAGCTGAGAATTCATAACATCAGGAAATAAAATGGCATCTTTCAATGCCTTTATCTCTTCCCTTTGTTTCAAGCACAAGTCTTTCAGTTTCTCTACCTATAAAAGACAACAGTAAACAGATGTATCAACAACAACAATATCAAGTATAAACCCAACCCATTTGATTGCTTACTTCTCGGCTCTTTTCATCGAGCAGAAGGCGGAGCTCTTGGATTTGATCCTGGCAGTCTTTGTTCTGGAAGAGCAGCTCCCTCTCACTGCGGAGGACCATGGAGAGGGTCCTTGTGTTGGCTTTGACCTCGGTCAACGCTCCTCCTCCTCCTCCTCCTGGTGCTGATGATGTCTTGTGAAAGAGCTTACGATTGAGTAAAGTGGTGAGATTTGAAGCAGCGTTTGACTTCCCCTTGCCGTTGCCTTTAACAGCAGCAGCAATGGGCAGAGGTCCATTGGGCCTGAGGTTATTGGACTTCTTCTCCATTAATTTCTTCACCATGGTACCAACGAAGTTGGTATTAGCACTGGGGTTCTTGCTCTTGGTGGGGACCACATCGCCTGATCTGGCTCGGACTAGAGCTCTGGATTTGGTGGCGGAGTCCATCCTATTGGAGCTAGGGTTTTCCAGATCCGGAGAGGGTTGAGAATGGGAGGAGTAGCGAGATGAAGCTCTGATCGAGGTCATGATTTCAGAAAGACAGTAATTTTAGGGATTTTGTAATTTTAGGGCTTTGTTTTTTTTTTTTTTTTGGGGGGGTTTCTTTTTTTTTTTTTTTTTTTTTGGGGGGATTTGCTTTTGATTTTTTGAATTTGAATGGGCCTATACCCCTCGCTCTTTATCGTTGTTGACTACAGAGCAAAAGTTCAAAGAAAGGGGGAAGAGGGAATGAATGAGTGAGTCACTGCTTTTTCCTTTTTTAAGCGGTAAGGGAGGGAGAGCCGATTGGTTTCAAATCAAATCTGAGTTCAAATTTCCAAGCGCTCTCTCTATCTCATCCTACTATCTTATCTTACTTGTGTGCACCCGTGCAAGTCACCGTCCTCTATTTTTTTAATCATTGTTTTTTAGACTTTTCTCTTTTAAAATTTTAATACATTTAATTTAATTATTATATATTTAAAATTAGAAATCATACATGCTCCTTTAGAAGAATCTAAGTTTTAATATATTTGATTTGCTTTATTGTAAAATATTGTAGCATAAATAGTAATTTCAAGTATGGATGAACAAATTTGGTTTAATGTTTATGCTACAGTAAAATACTGTAGCATGAACAGTGTATAGAAGTAGATTTATTTACAGGGGTTTAAAGGTTAATTTACAAAACTAAATTCTGTTGGCTTTGCACATGATCCCTAAACCTCCTTTTGCAACCAACCCCCTGTAGGCGTCTAAAAATGCCTATAGGTTCCCGCACGTAGCTCGAGATAAAGAGGAGACGATGAACGTTATTATCCGAGTCAAAGAGGATTATCTAACGTCGACAAGCGTATAAAGTGAGTCGACAAACCGTATGAAACAACGGAACAGCAGAATAACGAAGATACAATCCGATCGGGAGTTACGTTTCGCTCACAAAAGACGAAACATCCCTCGTGTCTCGTTCACCCCATGTATGATTCACCCATGGGAGATTGTAGAGCTCTTCGTCGGCTTTCCTACACACTTTGAATCAAGTAATTCTGAGATCGAACGAGGAAAATACAACAAAAATGACCGAGGCGCGCCTGAACAGTGCTCGGGCCTTAGCGGAGACACTTTGGGTGTCTCCCAACCTAAAAATGCTATTCCGAAGCTGTTTTGCCCGTTAACCGTCTGGATTTTGTTCCAACTGATCTAAAGCTATCCTAGAACGTGGTAAAGTGATTATAACTGAAGATAAAAGGGAATCAGCCGTTCTTATCCGAAAACAGAGCTCCCAAAGCATATAAATACAGCTCCAGGGCCTTCATTTGCACAGATCTGGAATTCTCGATCCTTGATGATGCCTTACTGAATTGGAGACTGAAGAGCCACGAATTTCAGAGAGGAAGAGGAGATCTCAGCGAATTCTTCGGCATAAAGAAGGAGAGTTCGACAGATCTACAGCCGAGTTCTTCCCTTAAGATCGCACCGTTGTTGTGATCTCGAGAAGAGTGGTTATCTCACTGTTGCCGAGATAATTGCTTCGGTTTCTTGAATCCTTCAGGAGTCAATGAAATATGCACTTTGAGCTGATCGCTTGGTGGTCCACGGATAAACCCCGGCACAGGCAAAGATCTCATGCAAACAGCGGGTGATAAACGTATGTTGTGTTTGTTTGACGAGAGTTGTAATTTTTTGTTTTCATTGTGTAAGAGTCTTATAAAAAGACTATCTTTTTGTTTTCATTATAACAATTAAAGTTGTAATGAATACCTCAATGAAGATGTCGACTTAAACACCAAACAAGCTGGAGACCACAGTGGGAGGCAACAGCCTTAATGCCAAGGCTGTCATGCCGCAGCCGACGATCAAGATCCCCGTAGCTGAAGAGCTCGAATACGAGTTCAACCAATAGAAGTTCGAGGAGTACGTCTCCTCCTCCTCCTCCAGATCTGCCTCTCCTCGCAAGTGCAGGAAGGTCTCCTCCTCCCTGTAGACAGTAAAAAATACCTCTGTGGGCTTGCAAGAAATTCGCCTACAAGGATAAGTTGCCCATACGATTCGCCTAAGCCACGGGAATTCACCTTTTAATACAACTCGCCTGACAAAGTCTGAAGTCGAATTCGCTAGTGAACCTCAAGGCCGCCAGAATAGCTAGGTATCTGCTACCCCACGTGCCAAGGCGGGCTTTCCTACCTCTCTCGACCTAAAGGGAGAAGGCACGGTACTCCAGGCCCGTCGAGTGGCCGTTCACAGTACGAGTGATCGGGCAGGTGTCGAGTCAACCTGAACACTCATAAATGCAGCTCACCTCATCCGTCCGAGTTGAGAGCTGGATCCGCCGGCATTCGGCAAGCTGTCCAAACCCACTCGAGTGCTGGGCACCTGCTTTCCCACCTCTCATGACCTGAGAAGAGAGAGAGCACAGTACTCTAGGCCCGTCCAGTGGCCGCCCACAGTACGAGTGATCAGACAGACGCCAAATCAACCTGCGCGCTCATAAATGCGACTCAGCTTAACGGTCCAAGTTAAGAGCTGGATCCGCCGGTGCACAGTAGGCTGGCCAAATCCACTCGAGTAGTGGGCAGCCGCTGTCTCACATACGAGGAGGGGGCCTTCCTATTCCTACGTGACACGACGTGAAGCACAACCCATCGAATGACCATTCGTAGTACGATGAGCGGCAAGACATCTCTCAACAGTACATGGTCACATCCCATAATTCAAGGAGTGACCACGCCGTCTCTCCACCATTTAAGAACTTCTTCCAGCCACAGGGGAGGGGTTCATCGGTTCACCAGTTCAGAACTTTTTCCAGCTACGAAGAAGAAGTTCAGCTGTTTCTCAACCGTCCAGCGATTCGCTCATCGCTGAATCAGCTAATTGAACCACTAGCTCTCGACTCCCACGCGGGTCGATGACAAGATCTTTGCATAACTGTTGCACTGTAGCATCCCCCTCTAGTTTTGGGCCCTGATTGCCGCCGAACTTGAGAACCCGAACTCCATCAATCCGAGTTTCTACTGTGTACTGAAGCTCTCCAGCAACTTCGGTCAAACCGTCCAAGGGAAGCAGACTCGGCACGAGCATCGAGCGAAGCATCCTGTATCTACCGAAAGTCCCCACACTAAACAAGGAGGGCCTTCCCTCTGCTTCTGTTGTAATTTCGATTTATTAGTTTGTAATAAGCCTTCTTATTAATACAAAAGAAGTTCCCTGTTTTCGGGAGATCAAAATTTACACCTACACTCCCGGAAAATCTACTGGTCTTCAGATTTGAAGACCTAAGAAGGCGATCTTTCTGCTACCGCTGCTGCAGTTACACCTCGCAACGATCTGCCAGCGTTCGATGAAGCCAGCCATAGATCCGGACACCGCCTCAATTAAGGAGTTTACTGCTAAAGGCGTGCCAACTTTATCAAAGAGGGCTCGTCAGAGGCGCCGCCAACGTCTCGCCCCGCCAATTTGCTAAGGCTTTGGAGCAAGTGCATGGGCTCCGCTACCAAGCAAATCTGAAATCCAGGAGACACCAAGTGGCTAAACCATCGCCACAGCAAGCTTCGGGATTCTTCTCCAAATCACCTACTAACGAATGGATTCGTGTCAAATAGAACTGTTCCACTATGGAGGAGCACATTCAGAAGCACCGCGCTCTTGCGCATGTCCGGATCCTTGTGCGAAAAGCACGAAAAATGCAGAAAGAAGAGGCGGTTAAGAAATCACCCAAGTATAAATAGGTTTGGATGTCAAAAGTCAAATCAATGCCTAAGGCAAAAGCAGACGAAGTTACTATTCAGCTTTCGTTAACTTCAGATCCCGCTCCTCCTGCTCCCCTACCTCCGACGAAGCCCTAAGGCAGCGTGGGTCTCTCCAAAATCAGAATTCCATTGAAGGATCGTCTGGGTCCTCTACACGAAGATCGAGGCAAAACTCTTGTTAAAGAATGCTTAGGACCGGTGAACAAATCACGATCTACTCTTCAGGCTAGGGGTCATAGACACCCTCCCAACAAGCCAATTCCTGTAACCGCCTGCTTGGGGGTGCGTACAGAAGGCCAGGAGCCCGTTAGGGTTTCACCCTCACAAATGTGTGATTCCAAACATGTGACTCTTACAAACGCCAACAAGGTGTTTCTTATTCAGAAGAAAATGTGTCTGGCACAAGATAACGTTATACCTGATAAATAGCCAATAGGTCGCTCCGACCACAACGCCGATGAGTTGTACTATCAGGCTAGGGGTAAGTCTCGAAAGAGAGATACCCCAGAAATGGACTCCCATTGTCCTTGTGATTGGTTTATTAGGGTAGTATTATCAGCGTGTAGCTGCCCCAAGACCACTCCACAGAGGGTCTCGGTATACGAGAGGATCTACACTGAAGCGTCAAAGCCCAGATCAAGGAATTTCCACAAAAGAGGATCGGTTGTTTGAGATGACGAACTCCCAGAAGTTACCATCAACATGGTCAATAAGGAAAAGTCTCTGATTATTTCAAGTTGTTCTAGTCCTGACTTTTCTCCAGGAAGAAGAGTCAATTCGGGAATAGCCCAACTAATGTATTGACTCCAGCTAGAAGATGTCGGGCCTAAACAATTCGCAGTCACGATTAACATGGCTGATAAGGGAAAGTCAACCCGACCTTCTAGTTCAAACCCCCTCATATCGTATCGTTTAACTCGGCTACGCACAGGGACTACTAGATTTAGGGACTATCAAAGGATGAATAGAGAATTATCCACGGATGATGAAGCATTAGATGCCAACTCTACAGTCGTTTCTGATAATACGGTATCTAGCCCAGGATAATCCTGCGAGGCATTTATGATTAACACCAAGCAAATGACCAAGATTCTTAAAGATGCTTTGGCTAAGTAGAAGAAGAACTTCAAGTTCAAAATGGAAATGACTATGCTGCGGATGAAGGAAGAGCATGACCGATGGATCCAAACTTTGTTAGGTCAAATCGGTGAATCTAGTCATCACAACAATGCCTACCGGGCAAGTAGCAATTCAGACATAGACGAACACCTCAATGCAGATAACCCTCCTGTCGACCAAAACGCTGGGGGTGGTCCCCCCGATGATGATAATACCGGGGGTGGCCATGATGTTCCTTCTCAAAATCGACCAAGGAAGGATACGAACGAGGATGAGAAGATGAAGGACCTCGAGGGAAAAATCAATGCCTTGATGTCCATTCAGAAGGGGAAAAAAATTGGCATTCCATATCCATATCCAAGAGTGTGATTCAATCCCGTACCCGGTGAAGTA